AGCCTCTTTTGTAAATCTAATATAAAAAAGTAATCCAGGACACTCTTTTGGTTTGTTATTTGTATATCCCTTTTAATTATTAAGACATCAGTAGGCTTCTTTTGCATGTCCAGTGTAGCATCTTTTTCCATATCATTCTTGTAGCCTGTCATTTTTAAATCCACTTTCAGTTCAGTCTCAATCTTGGCAGATATAACTTGTTCCTCTTTCATAACATCTCTTAAACACAATCTATTTATAGAGGCAGACACTCTTAAAATTAACTTCTGAGTCCACTGTTCAAAAATATCCTTCAGTATGTCCAATGTTAAAATATCTTGCTTCATTCTGTATTGAGTCAAATTTAAATGTTGTTCTCCTTTAATTGTAATTTCTAGTTCCTTCTAGTTCCCTCTAGTGTCCAACCTTCAACGTCTCATCCTATCATGTTTTTTTAAAAAAAACAGAATTCAAAACAACACATTTTCCCACAGGAAGAATTCTTATAATTAATTCTAAAATCTTATTTCAGATCCATCTGGACCCTTAGTCCATTTGTAACTTTCCAGAATCAAAGTTCTAATCACCCTTTTGCTGCTTATTCCAAAATATATATTTTTTAAGTCCTTAATCTTGTATTTAAAACTTTTTTTGCTAAGAAGCGGAAACTCACTTGATGCTGTAAAACTTGTCAGTCCAAAGGTTCCTAATAGCTGAAAAGCAGTTAACAAGCAATATCCAAAAGAAAAGTAAGTATGCAAACCCAGTGTCCTTTTTGAAGGCACTGACCATGGTTTCCGCAAAATGGTTATTCCCTTGTCTCCCAGAGCTCTAAACCAGCCAGAGACTGCTGTCTTGTGGTCTCCTTATGAGGAGCAACTGTCTGGAGTGCTTGTAGGTGATTTGAAGTCCTCTTCATGACTGAAGAGGTCTACTCTCTGGCTCTTCATTCCACATGGTCCTCAGCTCCGTTTCCAGTTCGCCTTTCTTCCCTGGAAGTCCTGCTTGTACTAAATTTTAATAGGAAGTTGAGCTAGTATTCCAGAGTCTTCAAATTATCTATGCACCCCTCTATAAGGTGGTGCTGATCCAAGTTTCAGTTACCTTATATGAAATTTACTAGATGACATTTCTGTGATGTAAGGTGTCTAAATTAACTCTCAGTAACATTTGCACACTCTCCATCACATGCCCTAGAATTTAAAGCAAACAGCATTTAGTTCTTTGGTTCCTTTTCAAACCCAAGATCTTGCTAGTCTTGGATATGAACTGCAGTGGCTGGATTCACAGAATACAATAAATGAAAACAAAACAAAACACTTAAAGATTTAATGTTTCAGCTAGGTCACAGATACTTCATTCTCGTCTTAATGAATTGGATGGGAAGAAAGGTGAATAATCTCTGCCTATTGCCTATCCTTTCTTGGTATTCTCTGACAGCTTTTTCTACAGAAATAATCAAGATTAAGAATCAGAGCTGGGAGGAGATCTTGTGGGTTTTCACTGTAAGCATATTCTCAGGATGGCAATTGGGCCTGTAAAGGTGGAGGATAATCACAGGGAACCAATTTTTTGCATGGAAAAGGAGAAACACAATTTTGAGTAGCACAGAAACTAAAAATGTAGAAGCCATTCCCATCAAAATTTGCACAGATACACAGACAGGAAAAGGAGAGGAAAGAAATCAAGCCCTTGCTGATACTATTTAGAATTCCAAAACTGTTTTACACCCGAAGACTTACTCCATATTTTCTGGCAGTCTAATTTTACTATGTGAAAGCTACTTCAATTTCTGATCATTCTTATTTTCCATGATCTTTATTTTTTATAATTTTTATTTAATACATTCTTAACAAAGTAAAAACCATAAGAGAAAATAAAGATAATAAAGAATAGTAAATAGAGAAGAAGGAAGGAAGGAAGGAAGGAAGGAAGGAAGGAAGGAAGGAAGGAAGGAAGGA